GACTGGTTAATAACAAGAGTCATCAGAAGATGACATATCCCCCGGCCCCATATCTTAGAAAGAACAAATCATCTGACAGTTACTTAAAGTCCAGCTTGATTTTAGACTAAAGTGCAAATCGTTTCCATGGAAATCATGAAAAAATAAATGACAAAATCTGCAAATAGCAAAAGGCACCACTTTGGGATCTGCCTCACATATCTGCCAAGTTTTGCTGAAAGATATTAAGAAGTTTTCGCGTTGTGCTCGGAAACAAAACCTACCCCTCCCTTTTGAGACTAAGTCCAAATTGTTTTCATGGAAACTGAGAAAATAATAAATCACAAATATCTGCAAATAGCAAAGGCACCACTTTGGCATCTGCCTCACATATCTGCCAAGTTTTGCTGAAAGATATTAAGAAGTTTTCCAGTTGTGTTCGGAAACGAAACCCATCCCTTCCTTTTTTTGAGACTAAGTCCAGATCATTTCCATGGAAACCGAGAAAATAATAAATCCACAAATATCTGCAAATAGCAAAAAGGCACCACTTCAAGATCTGCCTCACATATCTGCCAAGTTTTGCTGAAAGATATAGAGAGGTTTTGAGTTGTGCTCGGAAGCGAAGCCCACCCCTCACTTTTGGGATTAAGTCCGAATCGTTTCCATGGAAACCGGAAAAATAAAAATGCCAAAATCTGCAAATAGCAAAAGGCACAACTTTAGGATCTGTTTGATATATCTACCAAGTTTTGTTGAAAAATATTATACGGTTTTTGAGTTGTGCTCCGGAAACGAAAGCAATCCTTACTTTTTGAGACTAAGTCCAAAATGTTTCCATGGAAACCAAGAAAAATAAAAATGCCAAAAATCTGCAAATAGCAAAAGGCACCACTTAAGGTTCTGTTTCATACATCTACCAAGTTTTGTTGAAAAATATTGAACGGTTCTTGAGTTATGCTCCGGAAACGAAGCCCACCCTCACTTTTGGGATTAAGTCCGAATCGTTTCCATGGAAACCGGGAAAAATAAAAATACCAAAATCTGCAAATAGCAAAAGGCACCACTTAAGGTTCTGTTTGATATATACTACAAGTCTTGTTGAAAAATATTGAGCGGTTCTTGAGTTATGCTCCGGAAACGAAGCCCACCCCTCACTTTTGGGATTAAGTCCGAATCGTTTCCATGGAAACCGGGAAAAATAAAAATGCCAAAAATCTGCAAATAGCAAAAGGCACAACTTTAGGATCTGTTTGATATATCTACCAAGTTTTGTTGAAAAATATTATCACGGTTTTGAGTTGTGCTCTCGAAGCGAAAGCAATCCTTACTTTTTGAGACTAAGTCCAAAATGTTTCCATGGAAACCAAGAAAAATAAAAATGCCAAAAATCTGCAAATAGCAAAAGGCACCACTTAAGGTTCTGTTTCATACATCTACCAAGTTTTGTTGAAAAATATTGAACGGTTCTTGAGTTATGCTCCGGAAACGAAGCCCACCCCTCACTTTTGGGATTAAGTCCGAATCGTTTCCATGGAAACCCGGGAAAAATAAAATACCAAAATCTGCAAATAGCAAAAGGCACAACTTTAGGATCTGTTTGATATATCTACCAAGTTTTGTTGAAAAATATTGAATGGTTCTTGAGTTATGCTCCGGAAAGCGAAAGCAATCCTTACTTTTTTGAGACTAAGTCCAAAATGTTTCCATGGAAACCGGGAAAAATAAAATGACAAAATCTGCAAATACCAAAAGGCACCCCTCATGGTTCTGTTTGATATATCTACCAACTTTTGTTGAAAAATATTGAGCGGTTCTTGAGTTATGCTCTTTTGTTGGAAGCAGAAGCCCACCCCTCACTTTTGGGACAAAGTCCGAATTGTTTCCATGGAAACCGGGAAAAATAAAAATGCCAAAATCTGTAAATAGCAAAAGGCACCACTTTAGGATCTGTTTGATATATCTACCAAGTTTTGTTGAAAAATATTGAATGGTTCTTGAGTTATGCTCGGAAGCGAAGCCCACCCTTCTTTAAGACTAAGTCCAAAAGCGTTTCCATGGAAACCGAGAAAAATAAAATGACAATTATCTGTAAATAGCAAAAGGCACCACCTTAGGTTATGTTTGACATATCTACCAATTTTGGTTAAAAAATATCGAGCGGTCTTTGAGTTATGGTAGGGAAACAAAATGATTACGGACGGGCGGACGGACGGACGGACGACCGGATGATTCTAGGCGGCGACTATATCCCACCGCATTACATGCGGTGGGATAAAAAGCAAAAAGCAACATTGTTTATCAGTCAAAACCATGTCCCAACAACTCCCACCTTGGCTCTTAGCATCACTTTCAGAAGATATTAGTGCTATCATATACCATCACATGTTAGTGCTATCATATACCATCACATGTTAGTGCTATCATATACCATCACATGTTAGTGCTATCATATACCATCACATGTTAGTGCTATCATATACCATCACATGTTAGTGCTTTTATAACCAGAATGTTACTGAGTGAGTCAGTCAGTGCATGCATATGTGCGTGCCAGCAAGAGAGAGAGAGGGAGAGAGAGAAAGTGAGTGAGTGAGTCTGAATGAGGTCTTGAGGAGTTAACACTGCCTTGAACAGTATTCAAGTCATACACTGTGTCAGCTTAAAGTGGTGATAAAGTTTGTGGTCATGCATGTCTCAGACGTTTTCCACTTTGTGAAACACAGGAGCACTTGTCATTATTTGAAGGGTAAATTCCTTACCCCAAGTAGTCTGTCGAGTTGGTAGACGATGGCGTACGAGCTGTGGAATTGTTCTGGGCCTCTCTCAGAAATAAACAGAGCCTTGGACACCGGCATTTGCTCACTACTAGGGATGAACTTGAGCACCGCCTTGCCACCCTTGGGCTGGTTCCCGGTGGCTGGAAGGATGCCAGACACAGACGCCACTGACCCACTCACAACGGCCCTGAACCAGTCAGTCTCTCGGTAGCCTTGAATGAAAAACACTCTTTGTTTGTTTGTTTGTTTGTTTGTTTAATGCCACACTCAGCCATATCCTGGTTATATGACGGCAGCCTATAAATAATCAAGTCAGGATCAGACAAACTAGTGGTTGATAGTATGAGCAGCGATTGATGTCATCAGGATGAAATCAAACACGTCAGTGAGATGAACCACCTGATCTCATAGGTGGCTGACCCCTTGAGACCACCCTAGTGAGTGAGTATGGTTTTACGCCTCTTCCAGCAATATTACAGCAATATAACTGCAGGGGACACCAGAAATGGGCTTCACACATTTATACCCATGTGTGGAATCTAACCTGGGTCTTCGTTGTGTCAAACGAACACTTTAACCACTAGGCTACCCGCCTGAGGTTTTACAAAATGTTCCTTATGTCGGTACCTACCTTTTAGTCCCAGGTGTGTCATAAGCCTCCTCTCTCGACTCTTGTAAGCCTCCTCATGGCTCATAAAGCTTCGCTTAACACATGTGTCACGTGACATAGGCTGCTGCCCAGCAGGTGGCGCTCTGCCATCATTCTGGTCATGTGACTGCTCCTTTTTTTGTTCATCACCATTCTTGTTGTTCTGGTTATTGCTCTGACCGTTATTGTCATTGTTGATAGTGTTGTCCTGTCGATTGTTGTTAGGCTCATCGTTGTTGACCTGTTTTGTTTTCCCCGCCCCCCCGACGTATGAACAGCGTGGTTCCTGCAGACAGCTGGGGGTTGGAGGCGCTGGAGTTCTTCAGTATTATTGTCATCAGGTCTGAAGCAGAACGATGTCAATGGCTGTGATGTACTTGAGAGAAACAATACAACTGGGAAACATCAGTTTTACTGCTACACATTCTGATCAAGAGACCCCCAAAAGGACTGACTGACTGATTGGCGCTGTTCTCAGCAATATTCCAGCTATATGGCGGCGGTCTGTAAATAATCGAGTCAGGACCATATATTCCAGTGATCAACATCATGAGCATCAATCTACGCAAATGGGATACGATGACATGTGTCAACCAAGTCAGCAAGTCTGACCACCCGATCCTGTTAGTCGCCTCTTACGACAAGCATGGGTTGCTGAAGATCAATTCTAACCTGGATCTTCACGGGTCAAAAGGAAACAGCAATGAAGTTATTACATTTTCATCAACATCTTGTGAACTTGCGAAGCACTAGGCATTACATTTTACGCCTATAACTTTCCTTTGAAATAAAGTTTTTAGGTATAGCTTGATGGATTAACAGACCAGTCTACTGCAGAGATGCCAACCCTATTTTGGGCCTAAGTGTAATACTGGAGGTCAAAAAGTGTAATTTGGACCTAAAAAGTGTAATACTTAAAACACTTACATAGTGAAAGGTGATAACTTTATAAAAATTACTTTTAAAAAGGTTTATTCACATGAATAGGAAAGATTCTAGACAGAAATACACGTGACCAATCATTATGCAGTTCCATACATCAAAAATTGTTGGTCAGGTGACACAAAATACTTTAATTCCTTACAAGTTAATTGGAATGAGCGCATTGCTAAGAGTAAGCGATTCCTATTGGTGTAAGGCCATTTCTGAACCCCTGCACTAGTGCGTTACGAAAACTATTCCCTGTGAAATTTTATCCACTTTATTGATTTTCGCAAAACGGGTAGAAAAGCGTAATTTTCACAGATTAAGTGTAATGGCGTAATTTAATGGTCAAAATCATAATAATTACGCCGAAAGCGTAAGGGTTGGCATCTCTGCTACTGTCATATCATTTTCAGTTGATCTCAGTGTAGACCACGCACTGTTATTAGCAAACATTACTGGACTGAAATACCCAGTATATATCACTCAAGCCTCCGAACATGAGACTAATTCCTGGAGCCAAAGACTGTCGGACATATATTCGAGTCTGCTGTAAGCAGGCTTTTAATCTTCGTTTTAGTAATAGGTTATAATTTTAGTCTGCTATACAATTCATGTATTTTTCTAGTTTACCCACGTATTTACTTGTAACCTTACTTTCAGTCTCTGGCTGTGAGCTGTAGATGACGATTGATTCACATGCTGGGTTGGCATCACACATGTTCTGTGCATCCTGAATGCTTCGTGCCGTGAGGACACATCCCCACGTCACCCTTGAGTTCTCGCACCGGAAGTCGTATATTCCCTGGTAGTTGGACTGGTCATAGCGGAGGTACTCGCCAGGTGACGCTCGATCCCTCGTCTGTGTCAACAGACAGAACATGAATACAGACGTTACAGACATACACAGAGCTGGCGTAACAGGATTCCCTGGACATGGAGACATTATACCTTATGAAATACACCTCAAGCTGAATCCAAGATTCCAGAACAGAACTTTCTCTCTGTTTGCAGAACATAGTTTTCTTTACGAAACTACTTGTTTAGATATGTACTCAGAAAACATCTGTAAAATGGTGACATGAGGTTAATGCCATGAAATATATCTGTGTATCTTATCTGTAACAATAACTAAAAAGAGACTTCTAATTATGCAAACTTACAGGTAGAAGCATCCATGGAACAAGAGCTTAATTTCTCTAAGTCTCCATCACTGAGTTCCATCTAATATCTACATGTAGCAGGTCTGAGTCTTGAGCATGAATAATTATACTAATATGTAAAGTTTTGTTTATCTCAAACCATAGCCAAAGAGAAACCATTACAAACTTCCCCCTCATCACTGTATTACCATACCTCCCTGACTATATTACCATACCTCCCTGACTGTATTACCATACCTCCCTGACTATATTACCATACCTCCCTGACTGTATTACCATACCTCCCTGACTGTATTACCATACCTCCCTGACTGTATTACCATACCTCCCTGACTGTATTACCATACCTCCCTGACTGTATTACCATACCTCCCTGACTGTATTACCATCAATCTCGTCACTGTATTACCATACCTCCCTGACTGTATTACCATACCTCCCTGACTGTATTACCATACCTCCCTGACTATATTACCATACCTCCCTGACTGTATTACCATACCTCCCTGACTGTATTACCATACCTCCCTGACTGTATTACCATACCTCCCTGACTGTATTACCATACCTCCCTGACTGTATTACCATACCTCCCTGACTATATTACCATACCTCCCTGACTGTATTACCATACCTCCCTGACTATATTACCATACCTCCCTGACTATTTTACCATACCTCCCTGACTGTATTACCATCAGTCTCATTACTGTATTACCATACCTGCCTGACTATATTACCATACCTCCCTGACTGTATTACCATACCTCCCTGACTGTATTACCATACCTGCCTGACTGTATTACCATACCTCCCTGACTATATTACCATACCTCCCTGACTGTATTACCATACCTCCCTGACTGTATTACCATACCTCTCCTGACTGTATTACCATACCTGCCTGACAATATTACCATACCCCCAGTGACAGTATTACTATTGCTCTCGTCACAATATTACCATCAATAAAGTCACAATATTACCATACCTCCCTGACTGTATTACCATCCCTTCAGTGACATTATTACCGTTGCTCTTGTCACAGTAATGTCATCACTCCATTGCTCTCACTGTATTACCATTGCTCTCATCACTGTATTACCATCAATAAAGTCACAATATTACCATCCCTCCCTGACTGTATTACCATCTCTCCAGTGACTGTATTAAAACCCCTCTCATTACCCTTTGGAATACTTGATGGAATGCATTTGCAAGATTCAAAAACAAGAGAAACAGCTATTTTTCAATTGTTAAAAAAATTTGGATTAATTATTTAACATTGTTTTCATTAACCATGGCTAGTAGCCTTGAATTAAGTAACACATTTACCATTCCTTTCTATGAAGTAATTAGAGATTAAGAATAAAGTGTCACAAGTCATTAGTCAAGCTACAGTAAGATGCACCATGTTCATACAGCTGCATTAGATGCAACAAGTCCACTCCCAACACTGGACGGCGACAACTTTACACCAACACCTTACAACTGCAGCGTGACCAATGAGTCATCCAGTCAACAAGAGGACAAAGATGCAGCAGCCCAAGGAGCACCACACTCAATAGTGACAGCACCATCTGAACTGTGGAATCATTATGCTACATGTTGTTAATACCAAAATCCACTTTCAGCATCTATTGTGGCCAGCTGATCCTCCATGATTTGTCTGCTTGCTTGTTAGTTACAAAACCACTTAGCAACAATTTAGCTATATGAGTGAGTGAGTGAGTATGGTTTTACGCCGCTTTTAGCAATATTCAAGCAATATCACGGCTGGGGACACCAGAAATGGGCTTCACACATTGTGCCTATGTGGGGATTCGAACCCGGGACTTCGGCGTGACAAGCGGACGCTTTAACCACCAGGCTACCCCACCGCCCCCAGCTATATGAGGGCAGTCTGTAAATGATGGAGTCTGGACCAGATGATCCAGTGATTGACATTATCAGTATTAATCTACTCAGATGGGATATGATCACAATGAAATCAACAAGCCTGACGATCCAATCCACTAAGCTGCCCCTTACAATAAAAACATATGGTCACAAACCTATATTCTTACACATAATCCCCATCGGTAGACCCTAAATGTCCAGATGCAGTCATCTTTCACAATAAACATGAGTTACAGGAGTTGTCTTTTACACACTGAAATAGACAACTCTGTAAATAATGACTGACTGACTGAATTTGGTTTTACGCCGCTTTAAGCAATATTCCAGCAACATCACGGCGGGGGACACCAGAAATGGGCTTCACAAATTGTACCCATGTGGGGATTCGAACCTGGGTCTTCGGCGTGACGAGACAACGCTTTAACCACTAGGCTACCCCACCGCCCCTCTGTAAATAATGACATGTAAGGACATCAAGACAGATGACTCCATCAACAGCTACTAGGAATACATACTCTATATCACATGACTAGGAGCATTATCACATGATGGTTTGTTGTATCCAGGCTAGTGGTGTTCCGATTAATTGAAATAATCGAAGATTGGTCGCAGTGACCAAACGACCAAGCAATCGATCACATTTTCTCATAATCGATATTTAATGATTTTGGAACTACTGTTTTAGTCTTTGCAACACTTGACAATGAAACATATCTTAGAAATTGTCAGGGCCTGAAAACGTGTTTAATTCTTAGAAAACTCACTTTACTAACTGAAAAGCCATGACTGAATGTTTCTCTAAGACTCAAGGAAGTTTATGTTCATGATATATTAGTCATCACTTTAAAGTAGCAAGTTGCATCATCTTATACATATCAGCAATAACTTGGATAGGAAAATCTGAAAAATGATGCTAACCAATTTTTTTCGATGATTGTTCGTTGGTAATTAAGCAATTATCAATTGTGAAATTTCAACCAATTCCCAACACTAATCCAGGCAGTATACAGATAAGTAACATTGATACAAACAAAGGGATAAATATTCTAATGAGGCCATCTCTCACAATTGATCTCCATATATCAATGCAAAGTGGGCTGGTTTAATGAGATATTGCCTAATGTTCTCTATAACTTTCAATAGCAATTTCTGTGTGGTTATCTCTGTGGATAAAGAGATGGCAACCAATCATTTGGCAGTATATCAAGAATGGGGCGGTTCACTCATACAAAGTTTTCACATGTTGTTTCTGAAGCAATTTCATTGGATAAATATAGGTGTAAAACATGGTACTGTTTTTCATTGGTCGATGCAGTATTCCAGCACATCCTGCTTGAGGTTTTTGACATGAAACCTTCTGAGGAATCAAACCTTGATCTTAGGATGATGTGCAAACATTTTAACAATATCCGAGCAATAACATGGTGGAGAACCAGAAATGGCTTCACACGTTGTACCCATGTGGGGAATTGAACCCTGGTCTTCAGCGTGAGAATCGAACACTTTAACCACTTGGCCCTTTAAAATATGAAAATGTGTAACAGTTTGTATAGCACTTTACCCACATAGCATCAAGCATTGCAACAAAGCCACAAAAAGAACACAGCACCATGGCTTACCTTGATGAAATCCCAAACATATCTACACTGCTACTTGGTATCTAGAGGCTCCCAGCCACTTTCTATATTCTCACATGGAGACCTGTTGGAACTGAATCACCTATTGCTATATCTGGCACATGTCTACACAAGAGATAAAGATGTGTAATTACTGATTAGAGTGAGTGAGTATGGTCTTATGCCGCTTTTAGCAATATTCCAGCAATATTGTGGTGGGGGTCACCAGAAATGGGCTTCACACATTGTACCCATGTGGGGAATCTAACCCGAGTCTTAGGCGTGACGAGCGAACGCTTTAGCCACTAGGCTACCCCACCACCCACAATTGGCACAAGATCCTTTCAAAGTGAACTCAACATTTCCCTTGCCAAATTGACTCCCTCCTACGTCTAGGCAAGTCAGTTTGGCAAATAACATTTCTCAGCAGCTAAGCATTTGTATTGCATTAGAGATAAGACTTCACAAGATTTGGATATCAGATATAACTTTCCCAGCATTGTTTCAAATAATCATACCAGACCAAGCACCATAGGACTCTGGCAGCATAAGGTTGACTAGACGCAAGCTGTGGTATCTATGGCAACAACATATGCATCTGGCAAAAATCATATCTTGTCATTCCAAACTAATTCCCTGAATTGTGTGTTATCACATTCATGAATTCTCTTTCTAACTTAAATCTGTTTTTATTTGGTTTTACATTCCTACATGGCAGAGAAAAAAACATGACCAAAAAAAATAATTTCATCTTGCCTTCCCTAATATGAGTGAGTGAGTATGCAGGGCTCAATTTAAGAGATGTTAACCTACTTGCACCAGGTGCAACCTAAGATAAAAACATAGTTGCACCAGCCAAATTCCAGTTGCACTGCTTTTATTGCAATATGTAAAGAATGAAATATGCTATTGAATTACTTAGATGTTTTATTCAGCAGTTTACCCACTCAAAAATTGACTTGCACCTGGTGCAAGTTAGAGTAATAACTAGGTTGCACTTTATAATATTGGGTTGCACCAGTGCAAGGAACAAAGCACTAAATCGAGCCCTGTTATGGTTTTAGGAATATTCCAGCAATATCAAGGGGACACAAGAAATGGGCTTCACACATGGCACCCATGTGGGGAATGGAACATGGGTCTTTGGCGTGACGAGTGGACACTTTTACCACTAGGCTACCCCACCGCCCCTCCCTAATGTGAGAACTGATTGTGTGAAAATGGGAACTTCATAATGTGCTGATTCCAAAAAACATATGTCATGCTATATTTACTCTCTAACTTTATCGACTTAAGACCAATGAGATACAACTACACATTACTGTGAACATAATATCTAAATCTCTTTCCTTTATATGGTGTTACTGTGCTCTGTTGAAAGCTGACTTGAACTGATAAACATATTTTGATTTTGAGTCAGGTTAATTCACAATTTTATTTTAAAAAATCAGAAATAACAGTGTAAAGATTCTTAATTCAATAATGTCATCTCTGTGTGACAACTTGCTGATGGCGACGAAATAACCTGTCCAGTACCTACAAGACAAGGTCAAGGACAGTAAGAATACAAGGTCAAGGTAACTATAAAGACAAGGTCAAGGACACTATGAAAACAAGGTCATGAGTGTAACAAAGACAACAAGGTGAAGGACAGTATGGAGTGTACAAAAGGCATGAGATGCATGATAGCTATTCATTGTAAAAATAACAAAGTTACAAAGATAGAAAAGTAATATAAGCCAAGTTAATGTTTGTGAGTTTACACAGACTTATGTGTTGGCTAACAGGGCATATCATAAAGTTGTTAATGAAATTCTGAAATGGTATCTTTTTAACACTAATCCACAGACCCACTCTAGGTTCACACTCACTTTCAGTTTAAGTTCTAAAACTGACCATGATACTCTTTGTACTGACTTTTGAGTCCACAGAATGTTATTTTTTAAGAATTAGCTTGAGCACATACAGGGCAATAAAACACAACTCACTTTGTCACCATATCCTAACACAAGCTGTTTCCTCCTCTTAGTCTTAGCTCGCTTCTGTAAAGTCCATCAAGAAACGGTCACCCACCCTTTACCATGACTGCCTTAGTACATGTTTTCAGTGAGAGAGAGGTTTTAGTTTATGCTGCTTTTAGCAATATTCCAGCAATATCACGGCAGGGGACACCAGAAATGGGCTTCACACATTGCACCCATGTGGGGAATCAAACCCGGGTCTTCGGCATGACAAGTGAGCCTTATTGGACTTATATTACATTTATTAGCACAGACTCTGCAGACAGTTAAAAGTCTTCGGTATTCCCTACCGAGATTCAATTGGATCTCGCTAGAGTCAAGGGAACTCTCGGTAGCACTGGATCCATTAATTTTCAAGAATGTTACATCTGTCACATCAGTGATATTTTCAAAGCCTTTAGTCCACCTGTGTGTATTCTAGTGTTACATTAGATGACAATCAACCACTGACACTCTGAATGTAGAGAGTGTTTCTTACCAGAATAGAAATGTTGGATACATTTCAAAGATCCAGATATGTGCATCTCCCAAGACTCACAACATAAATCGTGTGCATTCACTCATTTCAGGGTGCATAGGGCACAATAATGTAACACTTGAGAATAACATGTAAAATTGAATGCACAGTAAAACCCACTGTTTTCTTCTGGAAATGAAATGATTACATTTTAACTGCAGACACTGCACTAGAGTCATAAAACCACCAAATTATTGTTCATATTACAATGTATTTCCACCCCTTCTCTTTCCTAATTTTCAATGAAACGGACCACCCAAGGCTCATCCTTTTTGAAGGCAATAAGTTAAAGCCATTTATGACTGATTAATTAACCCAATACAAACGATTCTTTGTGTAAGAGGAGGAGATTACAGTCCCAACTGACCTTAGCAGCGTTGTTGTCGCCATACAGGAACTGATTGTTTCTGCTGGGTCTGTTCAGGTTGGGGTCATCCTCCCGCTGGACAACACGCCCGGCTGCTCCTGCTGGTAGCTCGTGGTGCTGGGCTGGAGGCTCTTGGGCAGGCCTGCAGGGTGAGTGAGGGAGTTGATTTATCACCGTGTCACAGGTATGGTGTAACATTAGAGTTGAAACTGAGTTGGTGGGAGGAGGAGTGAGAGTGAGTGAGTGAGTGAGCGGAGGAGTGAGTGAGTGAGTGAGTGAGTGAGTGAGTGAGTGAGTGAGTGAGTGAGTGAGTGAGTGAGTGAGTGAGTGAGTGAGTGAGTGAGTGAGTGAGTGAGGAGTGGAGTGAGTGAGTGAGTGAGTGAGTGAGTGAGTGAGTGAGACATTACAGCACTTATCATTATTTGAATGGTAAATTCCTTACCCGAAGTAGTCTGTCGAAAGTGTGACTGGGTGTGTGGTTGAGTGAGTGGTTAAGTAAGAGAGTGGTTAAGTGAGTGAATGAATGAGTGAGAGAGAGTGCAAATGAGAAATGAGGTGCTGAAGTTAACACTGCCTTGTACAGTATTCCAGTTATTACACACTGTGTCAGCTTAATAATGTGGTGATAAAGCCTCTACGTTCTTTCACAGAGTTGAAAGTTGAAACTGAGTTGGTGTGGTAAAAGGTATGATGCCAATGTCAAGGAAAGTTTCCTGCAGTTCAGCTGGTACTGCTTCTGCACATTTGGTCAGATGTTTTGGGCACAGCCTGATGAAATAGTGAGTGAGTGAGTGAGTTCAGTTTTACGCCGCTTTTAACAATATTCCAGCTATATCACGGCGGGGGACAAAGAAATGGGCTTCACACATTGTACCCATGTATGGAATCGAACCCGGGTCTTCGGCGTGACAAGCGAATGCTTTAACCACTAGGCTACCCCACCGCCCCTGATGAAATAGACCACAAGGACACAGGGCTATGGTATTTACCAACTCAATGAAACCTTGAGCAAAGGGTAGGATGCTGAGAAACCAGTAATTACAATCAGGGTTAAACTGGGACTAAATTCAAATATCACAGGATCTCAGCTTGCTTAAGGTTGGCAACTATGTAAATCATGGCACTGAAATCACATGGGTTTGAATCCTGGATAGGACTCAACCCCCAAAAGTACAAGAGTCTGTACTTTCAAGAGAAAGTGTAATCTCAAATATAACATATGTTACATTTGACCACTTTCTAAACGGCATTGTGTATTCATACCTGAGGTGAATTGATGACCTGTGCCAGTTACAGGTGAGCTCTTTTAATGAGTGAGTATGGTTTCGCCGCTTTAGCAACATTCCAGCAATATCAATGGAGGGGGACACCAGAAATGGGCTTCACACATTGTACCCATGTGGGGAATCGAACCTGGTCTTCCCCAGCTGACGAGCTTAACGCTTTAACCACTAGGCTACCCCACCGCCCCTCTTTCAATGAAGCATTCCACTATATGCATAACAACTTCTTGTTTATTGCACAGAGTGATGTTTAGATGTAGATTCTTGACTCACCAACTTCTAGAGTGCCGGTCAAACAATGAGCAAATCTTTGCACACAGACAGACATGAGATGGGGGCTTACCTGCTTGTTCCTGGATCTGAGTGAGGACAGTGGTGAGTTCATGGGCGGAGATCTGGTTGTTGATGAGTCGGTTGAGGATGTCGTCCACACGCTGGGCCTGGGAGGCAGGTGAGCTACGGAGGATGGGGTCCATCATCAGACTCCCCAGACGATACAAGTTGGAGGCCTTGTTCAGCCCCTGACATCGACCAGAATCACATTTTATACCTGCAACATGATCAGACATGTTACAGAGTAAACAGCACCAGCTATCAGTGGGGTTACATAGGAGTGTTAGTAGTAGAGATCTAAGCGATGCAGATCTCACAATGATGGACCACATTGGAGAAACAACATGGCTATCACACTGACAAAGCTGAAACAAAACAAGGGACATCACATTTAAACACTGCATGCACCTGCATATCGGTGCCACCCATATCCCTCCTATCAATCAGTATCCCCGTCATCCATATCCTCCTATCCAATCATTATCCCCCGTGCCACCCATATCCCTCCCTACCTACCAATCCCCCGTGCGCACCCATATCCCTCCTCGCACCAATCGTATCCCCCGTGCCACCCCATATCCCTCCTACCAATTATATCCCCCATGCCACCCATATCCCTCCTACCAATCGTAGGATCCCCTGCCACCCATATCCCTCCTACCAATTATATCCCCTGTGCCCTCATATCCCTCCTACCAATAGTATCCCCCGTGCCACACATATCCCTCCTACAAATCACATCCCCTCCACCACTGTATCCCCTGCAGTCCTGTCCTCTGTACACCATATCCCTTCCTACCAATCGTGTCCTGTCCTGCCACCCATATCCATCCTACCAATCGTCCCCCACACAGTCCATGCCACTCATATCCCTCCTACCAATCATTATCCCCTGTTACCTCCATATCCCTCCTAACAATCATGATCCCCGAAGCCACACATATCCCTCCTGGTCAATCAGATCCCAGTTATAAACCCATCATATCCCCAGCTACCTATATCCCTCCTACCAATCGTATCCCCATACACCATCCCTCCTACCAATATCCCCTCCTACCAATCCACTCCCCCATGCCAGTGCCACACATATCCCTCTACCAATTGTATCCCCGATGCCACACATATCCCTCCTATCAATCCCATCCCCGTGCCATGCATATCCCTCCCTCCATGTATCCCCATTGCCACCCCTATTATCCCACCCGTATCCTCCGGTGCCACATATCCCTCCCTGTCGTATCCCCATTATCCTTTCATTAGTAACGTACACCGCATATCCCTCCCTACAGTAATCATCCCTCCTCCCCGTGCCACACATATCCCTCCTACCAATCATCGATCCCCGTGTCAGCCACTCCTGGTCATCATATCCCTCCACCTGTATCCCCCGAGCCACCACATATCCTACCCCTCCCCGTATGACACATATATCCCTCCTACCATCAGGTATCCCCATAGATGCCACCCATATCCCTCCTACCAATCATATCCCCATGCCACCCATATCCCTCCTTTCAATATTGGTATCCCCGGTGCCACTCATATCCCTCCTACCAATCATATCCCCGTTGCCATATCCTCCAATAGTATCCCCGTGCCACACATATTCCTCCTCCAATCTGGTGCCACCATATCCCTCCTGTCTCCCCCGTGCCACCCATATATCCCCGTTACCACTCCTATATCCCTCCTACCAATCATATCCCCGTTGCCACATATCCCTCCCTACTATATCCCCTACCAATATCCCCGTGCCACCCATATCCCTCCTACCAATCGTATCCCCCATGCCACCCATATCCCTCCTACCAATCGTATCCCCCATGCCACCCATATCCCTCCTACCAATCGTATCCCCCATGCCACCCATATCCCTCCTTCCAATAGTATCCGCCGTGCCATCGATAACACCGCTGCCATCCGTATCCCTCCTGCCAGTCATATCCCCATGCCACCCTTTCCCCCTAGTGTCAACTGTATCCCTCCTCTGGTGCCACACAACACCCGACATCAACCCATGCCACTCATGTATTCCCATCTCTATAGCCACCATTATCCCCATGCCACCCGTTCCCCTAGTGCCAACTGTATCCCTCCTCTGGTGCCACACAACACCCGACATCAACCCATACCACTCATGCTTCACGGTATTCCCCATAGCCACCGTATCTCCCATGCCACCCGTTTCCCCTAGTGCCAACTGTATCCCTCATCTGGTGCCACACAACAAACCCAACATCAACCCATACCACTCATGCTTCACGTATTCCCCATAGCCACCGTATCTCCCATGCCACCCGTTCCCCCTAGTGCCAACTGTATCCCTCCTCTGGTGCCACACAACAAACCCCACATCAACCCATGCCACTCATGCTTCACGTATTCCCCATAGCCACCGTATCTCCCATGCCACCCTTTCCCCCTAGTGCCAACTGTATCTCTCCTCTGGTGCCACACAACAAACCCCACATCAACCCATGCTTCACGTATTCCCCATAGCCACCGTATCTCCCATGCCACCCGTTCCCCTAGTGCCAACTGTATCTCTCCTCTGGTGCCACACAACACCCCACATCAACCCATGTACTCATGCTGCATGGTATTCCCCATAGCCACCGTATCTCCCATGCCACCCGTTCCCCCTAGTGCCAACTGTATCTCTCCTCTGGTGCCACACAACAAACCCCACATCAACCCATACCACTCATGCTTCCCCATAGCCACCGTATCTCCCATGCACCGGGTTCCCCAGGTGCCAACTGTATCTCCCTCTGCCACCCAACTTCCCACATCAACCCATGCTCACGTATTCCCATCCATTATCTCCCATGCCACCCTTTCCCCTACAACTGTATCTCTCCTCTGGTGCCACACAACAAACCCCACATCAACCCATGCTTCACGTATTCCCCATAGCCACCGTATCTCCCATGCCACCCGTTCCCCCTAGTGCCAACTGTATCCCTCCTCTGGTGCCACACAACAAACCCCACATCAACCCATACAACTCATGCTTCACGTATTCCCCATAGCCACCACATCTCCCATGCCACCCTTTCCCCCTAGTGCCAACTGTATCTCTCCTCTGGTGCCACACAACAACCCACATCAACCCATACCACTCATGCTTCACGTATTCCCCATAGCCACCGTATCTCCCATGCCACCCGTTCCCCCTAGTGCCAACTGTATCTCTCCTCTGGTGCCACACAACACCCCACATCATCCCATACCACTCATGCTTCAAGTATTCCCCATAGCCACTGTATCCCTCTGGTGCCACCCGTTCCCCTAGTGCCAATTATCTGTATCCCTCCTCTGGTGCCACACAACAAACCCCACATCAACCCCATGCTTCGCATTATTCCCCATAGCCGCGTCATTGATCCTCCAATGGCACCTGTGGACCTCTGTTACCCCCTTCCACCCATATACCACAGGCACATCAGCCTGTCATGAGTGAATCAGGAGTGTTTTAATAAGCATATTTTATTTCCCATCAGAGTTGCAATTGATACCCAATCATCACAACTACACATGTTTTTAAATTGCAATTCACATCAATTTTGAAAATGTTTCCTGATGGTTTGATGAAGACTACCAAAATAGTGATTTGCCATCATCGGGGCAGTCACTGTCAGAGCTGCAGGAGACTACCTACCCAGTGATTTGCCATCATCGAGGAGGCAGTCACTGACTATCAGGCTGCAGGAGACTACCTACCCAGTGATTTGCCATCATCAAGGCAGTCACTGTCAGAGCTGCAGGAGACTACCTACCCAGTGATTTGCCATCATCGAGGCAGTCACTATCAGAGCTGCAGGGGACTACCTACCCAGTGATTTGCCATCATCGGAGGCAGTCACTGTCAGAGCTGCAGGGGACTACCTACCCAGTGATTTTGCCATTGTCAGGCAGTCACCATCAGAGCATCAGGAGACTACCTACCCAGTGATTTGCCATCATTGAGGCAGTCACTGTCAGAGCTGCAGGGGACTACCTACCCAGTGATTTGCCATCATCGGGAGGCAGTCACTGTCAGAGCTGCAGGGAGACTACCTACCCAGTGATTTGCCATCATTGAGGGCAGTCACTATCAGAGCTGCAGGGGACTACCTACCCAGTGATTTGCCATCATTGGGGCAGTCACTGTCAGAGCTGCAGGAGACTACCTACCCAGTGATTTGCCATCATCAGAGAGGCAGTCATTGATGTAAGTCACTATCAGAGCTGCAGGGGACTACCTACCCAGTGATTTGCCATCATTGGGGCAGTCACTGTCAGAGCTGCAGGGGACTACCTACCCAGTGATTTGCCATCATCGGGGCAGTCACTATCAGAGCTGCAGGAGACTACCTACCCAGTGATTTGCCATCATCGAGGGCAGTCACTGTCAGAGCTGCAGGACTTCTGTGGCGAGGCATCATGTGGTCGAGGTCCACAAGCCGAAGTGAGTAGCCATTGTTCACAACAATGAAGTCCTCCATGCTGATTTTCCCTAGCCACATTGCCGATGGGGCTGGATTCTAGATACTCCAGCAGTTTGGCAAGTTGGAGCGCATACTGCCACAGAAATAAACAGCAGGTTATACTACAAAGTATCACTTATATACTGTCGTCTAGTCCTAACAGCTGAAGTGGTGGCTGAGTAGAAAATAACAATGTTTCACGATTTTCAGAATATGTTTTAAGATCAATAAAAGCATGATCTAAATTTCCACCAGGTCAATTCAGTAGATGAAAATGTTTAACCTTGGAGTCAACTTTGTGTGCTGACTCTTTCAGTGTTGTCACAACCCTAGTGTGGAGTACACAAACCTGTGCACTTAACGAACCCACAAATCCGTTGGTAAATGACCAGATGGTGACCACATGAATAATGTGCAAACACCTAGTTACAGGTACAGCAGCGGGCGGTAAACTGGACAAAGTACTGTGACTATGTGTCCCAGTCCACCCAGCTGTGAATGGGTACCTTATAAGGATGGCAGGGGCGGAAATAACTTTAAAACTGCTAGTGTACTCCGGTACAGTGGCACATGTAAAATCACTTGCCCTGATAATTTTTCCACCATACCAGCTGTTTTCTTGTTGATTTTTTACTTAAAGAACATAATTAACATTGGAAAGTCAACTGGACACCGGTACAGTGTGATATACAACTTTGCTTGCCTGACAGAAAAAGACAATGGGCTCGGGCGTTGGGCAATGGGTTATTTCCACCCCTGGGATGGTTGCGCCAAGTGACTGCAAGAGTTGTATGATCCCCAGGGAGTTGAGATTGAAAGTATGATGTGCCGTACTTGAGATTGACGTCCAATGAACGAGGGAAAAAATACCATGCACTAGTTGCCTGGATATGTGTGCTATATAAATATCCTACAATGATAAAGGTAGCATGTTCTGAATCAGTAATGAATGTTTTTTCAGCAAGTTTCCAGCTATAACATGGCAATAGAGTCAAACCAGACAATCCAGTGACTGACAAGATGTACATCGTTATACATCTCTACTGATGAAAAATCTGAACTCTAAATAATGTCATAAAAGCCTCTCTTTTCTCTACTGTATCTGTAGACCTATGGAACTCACCATAACTTTGGTCTGCCATGGCATTGACACAAGGGAATGGTGACTCAATGGTGAGCCTAACTCTGTGACAACAATCAGCCCTTTCTTCCGAATCTCGGGGGAGATCTGGTCTCCACGAACACAGTAGCCTAGCATGTTGACGATGGTGGGGTGTCGCAGCAGAGCCAGGTAGAGGATCTCCCTCATCATCTTGTAATTCCCCATCAGACTACAGTATTCAAAATCATACACCTTCTTCATACACTTGATCTTCGTACTGACGTCAAACGACTGACTCTTCACTGTCACCTCATGCCGACTGTATTCATCAAAGCGACCACGCTCCACGTATCGTTTATCCGACCGGGCCATATTCCCGCCAATATGTAGACTATCGATCTCCTTACAAGACATATTGCTGTCCAAGCCAATATCCAAGAGCAACGACTTCAACTCCAATGCAACTTCATCAGTTTCTCGCTGTACCCCAGTTATCAGGGTACAGTTCAGAAATAAAGCTATGAATTTTTTTCTGTAAAATGGGATTAAATTTTAAAGACCCTGACATCAAAGACTGTCTCCTGATCTCTTGTTCCTTGTGCCAGTCATTGGTCGGTTCCTGGTCACCGGCAGGAGCAGGTGCTCTGGCGTTTCCGAGCCTCTGCTTCGCTGCTTGGAATCGTAACCCTTTCCTTTTGTCTAGAGACGGGAATGAGTTGCGTCGGTGAGAATGTGAGGTTTCATGTCCACTGAGAGATCTGTATGTTAAGTACACACCACACAGGCACAGTGTCAATATCACCAGTATGAGGCCAGTCCGACACCGTATTCCAAGACAACGACGACGCATTTTTAAACGAATCTGGCGGTTGGTCCAATGAAATACACTGCTGGACACTGCAAGAAAAATAAGTACACATTTTAGCATTGAAATATATACAGGTGCAACATAGGACCATGACTTCAGGCTGCTAAGGGAGAAACTGTACTAAATATTTGGTACATACAAGAAAAGATAAACAAGAGTCATCAGAAGATGACATATCCCCCCGGCCCCCACATCTTTGAAAGAACAAATCATCTGACAGTTACTTAAAGTCCAGCTTGATTTTAGACTAAGTGCAAATGGTTTCCATGGAAATCATGAAAAAAATAAATGACAAAAATCTGCAAATAGCAAAAGGCACCACTTTGGGATCTGCCTCACATATCTGCCAAGTTTTGCTGAAAGATATTAAGAAGTTTTCGCGTTGTGCTCCGGAAACAAAACCCATTCCTTCCTTTTGAGACTAAGTTGAATCATTTCCATGGAAACCGAGAAAATAATAAATCACAAATATCTGCAAATAGCAAAAGGCATCACTTCAATATCTGCCTCACATATCTGCCAAGTTTTGCTGAAAGATATAGAGGTTTTGAGTTATTAACTCGAAACGAAGCCCACCCCTCACTTTTGGGATTAAGTCGAATCGTTTCCATGGAAACCGGGAAAAATAAAAATGCCAAAAATCTGCAAATAGCAAAGGCACAACTTTAGGATCTGTTTGATATATCTATCAAGTTTTGTTGAAAAATATTATATGGTTTTGAGTTGTGCTCCGGAAGCGAAAGCAATCCTTACTTTTGAGACTAAGTCCAAAATGTTTCCATGGAAACCAAGAAAAATAAAAATGCCAAAATCGGCAAATAGCAAAAGGCACCACTGTTTAAGGTTCTGTTTCATACATCTACCAAGTTTTGTTGAAAAATATTGAGCGGTTCTTGAGTTATGCGTTCTGAGTTATGCTCTGAAGCCCACCCCTCACTTTTGGGACTAAGTCGAATCGTTTCCATGGAAACGGGAAAATAAAAATGCCAAAATCTGCAAATACCAAAGGCACCACTTAAGGTTCTGTTTGATATATCTACCAAGTCTTGTTGAAAATATTGAGCGTTCTTTGAGTTATGCTCTGGAAAGCGAAGCCCACCCCTCTCTTTGGGACTAAGTCCGAAACCCTTCTTTCGTTTCCATGGAAACCGGAAAAATAAAATGCCAAAAATCTGTAAATAGCAAAGGCACCACCTTAGGTTATTTTTGACATATCTACCAATTTTGGTGAAAAAATATCGAGCGGTCTTTGAGTTATGGTTCTGAAACAAAATGATTCTGGAACCGAGTTGGAGCGGACCACCTAGGGCCGGACGGACGTCTTTGAGACGGACAGGATTCTGAGCATGGACGATTTGAGTGACGACTATATCCCACGCATTATATGCCGGTGGGATAAAAATTGTATAGAATAGTGGTTGCTTATATCATTTAAGCTCTTGGAACAATTTCTGAAATATTTTTTGACAGACCTAAGGTAATGTTTTTGTATGTACTAATGGCCACTGTAATCCTGTCTATAGTTCCTGTCACAAACTCAAGTAAAGTGGAACTCAGAACTACTCCATTGATACTGATTGTAGTTAGACAAAATGGCTAGTGCTTGCTGAGTTGTTTTTTGTTTTAAATTACTGCCTCGTTCTTTCGTGAGTTTGGTTTTTACATTAACGTCGCTTTTAGCAATATTCCAGCAACATCACGGGAGGGGACGCCATAATACTGCCTCAGGAGTCATTCACAAAATCAACAGTAATCATATTCACCTTAATTGTGTTAAGGGGCTTATGATCAAAGTGGGATATACATGATAAAAACAACAAAGTACAAAACATCACAGAATGAGTGATCCACTACCTGATCTGGATCCTTAATCTGGATCCCCCTACCTAATCTGGAGCCCCTGCCTAATCTGGATTCTTAATCTGGATCCCCTGACTAATCTGGATCCTTAATCTGGATCCCCTTCCTAATCTGGAACCCCTGCCTAATCTGGATCATTAATCTGGATCCCCTGCCTAATCTGAATCCTTAATCTGGATCCCGTGCCTAATCTGGATCCTTAATCTGGATTCCCACCTAATCTGCATGCTTAATCTGAATCCCCTGCCTAATCTGGATCCTTAATCTGGATCTCCGCATAATCTGGATCTGTAATCTGGACCCCCCCTACCTAATATGGACCCCCTGCCTAATCTGGATCCTTAATCTGGATCCCCGCCTAATCTGGATCCTTAATCTGGACCCCCCCTACCTAATCTGGACCCCCTGCCTAATCTGGATCCTGAATCTGGATCCCCGCCTAAGCTGGATCCTTAATCTGGATTCCCGCCTAATCTGCATCCTTAATCTGGATCCCCTGCCTAATCTGAATCCTTAATCTGGATCCCTGCCTAATCTGGATCCTTAATCTGGATCCCCCCGCCTAATCTGGATCCTTAATCTGGATCCCCTGCCTAATTGGATCCTTAATCTGGAACCCCTGCCTAATCTGGATCCTTAATCTGGATCCCCTGCCTAATCTGGATCCTTATTCCAGAACCCCTGCCTAATCTGGATCCTTAATCTGGATCCCCCCTGCCGAAACTGACTTATCTTTGATCCCAAACACTAATCCGATTCCTTAATCTGGTTCTACATATCTATCTGGATCCAGCTGCCTAATCTGGATCTGAATCCCTAATCTGGCTTCTCACAGAGGTACAGATAGGCTGTGTATCTGCCTAAATTATGCAAACATTTATGTGAAAACTCAATTCCTTTCAAGTCTGTTGCGTACAAGTACACTTGAATTTTTGTAAATATTCAATAAATTTGATCTAACGTGTACTGTAACATTCAGCAAACCTACTAGAATTTGAAGTAAGCAGACCCATGTGCTGCAGATGGAGGGAGTTAGTGAGTATGGTTTTACGCCGCTTTTAGCAATATTCCAGCAATATCACGGCTGGGTACACCAGAAATGGGCTTCACACATTGTGCCCATGTGGGGAATCGAACCCGGGTCTTCGGCGTGACGAGCCAACGCTTTAACCACTAGGCTACCCCACCGCCCCGTGCTGCAGATGGAGTTTACTGAGGATAGATAGAATAACTGAGGTATATTGTGAGGTTCTATTTCAGCACATGAACTTGGTAACTTGCAGTCTTTCTTATCTCTTCTCATATTACAGATCAATATAAATAACACACACGTTAACCAACATTTAAACTTTATTCAATTTTCACAAATAATGGAAAATGGCAAAATACCCAATTGCGTTTGACTGAGGTGGGTATAATTTATTAGGTTACTCAAAGGAAAATTAGCATACCCAATTGAGATGAACACAAGTGAGTACATAACTCAATGGCCCAAAAAGTTATCTGTAGCTCTGTTCTCATATCATATATGGATCTCAGTCACTTATTTGGATCTCCCTGACTAATCTGGAACTAAATCTAATTTGGATCCCCAAAAAGTGGATCCATGTCTCTAATCAGGGTCCTTATCCCTAATCTGAATCCTGATTCTCAATCAGGATCCATGTCTCTAATCAGGATCCTTATCCCTAAACTGAATCCTGATTCTCAATCAGGATCCTTATCCCTAAACTGAATCCTGATTCTCAATCAGGATCCATGTCTCTAATCAGGATCCTTATCCCTAAACTGAATCCTGATTCTCAATCAGGATCCTTATCCCTAAACTGAATCCTGATTCTCAATCAGGATCCATGTCACTAATCTGGAATTACATCCCTAATCTGGGCCCGAGTCCCTTATCATGATCAACACTAACCCAATCAGGATCTCCATCTCTTATCAGAATCCAAATCCTATATCCACAGGATTGCACCTTAGCTTGCAACATCATGTTTCCACATTTGTGTAGAACATTTACACTTCACCACTTTCACTACAGACACACTAGACACTATCTTCCTATAGAAGCAGGCTTTTACTGATACTATTACTTAATGCAAGCAAGGAATAATTTAGGATAATTTTGCCTTTGTAGGCCAGCAATGAATCAGTTTTATGCTGATTATTTATAAATATTTACTAGGCTGGTACATGAAATTAAAAATTGTATTTTCTGTGTTTCATGGTCTGTCTTAACTATTGTAATTCTAAATTAATGCAATCATGTCTGAGACAGTGAATAATTAATTGAGTACATTAATTCATACAGCTGCATCGATTTAAAATCAGCATGAATAATTTACTGATACACTGATATATATACACCTTGCTGTGCAAGGGACCATTCATAACTTATGGCTGGGGGCGGGTGTGATGATGATTTCATGGGGGGGATCACCCATTTTGTTCTGGGGAGGTAGTAGGGGGGTCATCAATTTTGCACACTTATACTGGGGGAGGAGTGTCATTGATTTTGTACATGACATGCAGGGAGGTCTCTTACTTTGTACATACATTTTATGGGTGGGGTGGGGCCAGGGGTGTGGGTCATTTACATTGTACATGCTACTCCATAACAATCATCATCACCCCTCCTAGCCATAAATTATGAACCATCCCAAAGGGGGTTTGTTTTTGAAAGCATGTTTACAGGATGTCCAAGGTCTGCTGGTAATTAAAAATGGAGGTTTGTAGCTAATGTATTCCATTTGCTATCATTGTACAATAACAGGCTAAAACATTTCTGTTTCCCCGGACAAATCATGAAACACCTCTCTGGCTGTACCATCCATGGCTGGTTCCTACAAGACGATACAGAGACAACCGACCTAAACATCTATGAAGTGATAAGCTAGCAAGACTTACCTATATGTTTAGACATTGACTGGTGAGGAGTTGCCATGTATACAGACCATGCATGTAACCAAAGCAAAGCCCTTACACGCAGGTTTGTCATTTTACTATTACAATAGTAACAGGATATTTGAATGTCACCATGACAGTTTCATGTCATTTTATCTCCCTGTACAGCATCAGGAAATGCATAGTAGGTTAGGAACACAATGAATTGGGCAAGCACGGTTTGATGACTGGAACAATCAAGTTTTGTATCATTTTATCCATTCAGCATGTCAGTCTAAATATAATCCACAGTCATCATTTGTTTGTACATTTGGTGAAACATAATAATGCTACATATATAGCTTCTAAACAATCTTCTCACTAGGGATGTCACGATACATAAGTTTCATGAATCGATACATATCACAATACCCAGGTCACGATTTGATACGTATCACGATACCTATTTGCATGGCATTATTGAGTAAATCTAGTTACATTTTGAACATTAATATTTCATATTTTGTAATTGTCCATGAAAAGATCAACATTTTTTATTCTCAGAGATTAAAAAGTTCTAATTTCCCATCTTTGTGCACGAAGAATAATCATTTATAACTCTCATAACATCAAAAACATGATACAATTGCAAAATGTAAACGATACATAAACATATTTCAACCAATACTTTCAAAACTAAATATCGATACACTTTTGAATGTATCGATAATTGTATCGTCTTAGAAAAAGTATCGATGTATCGTGGCATCCCTACTTCTCACCGATGTGCTTGTGGACTCTGATTGGCACTTACATGAATACGTGAACCTATCTGAGTCAGTTGATATTATTTGGGTCAGTTTCCAGATAAACTTTTGTTGAGATAAAAACTAAGTATATTTTCTTAACTCTTTGTAACACAGTAACATACAATACAGAGATATTCTTTGCAATATGTGATAGGTAGAATAAACAAGTAGCCCAGTTACCATGGTAACTAAAAGAACCCACTCCAGAAGATATTAATGTCCTATATAGGGGTGGGTATTGCAGAGAATTTTCATATTGCGATATATTGCGATGCAAAAGCGTATATTGCGATATGTATTGCAATATATTGCAAGAAGGTTTTTTTTAACAAAAAAACTATGTATAATCGAGTTAATGCTTGATTTATAAAGCAAAAAGACAATAAAATCACTATGCTTGATTAAGATTTAATAAAAATGTTTAATCATGACAAAAAACAAATGTAAATAATATTTGGCACAATTAAAAAAAAGGAAAGGAACAACTTAAAAAACGGAAATATCCAAAGATTTCCGAGTGTTACGAAGTTTTCCGAATGCATGTCAAAATACCGGTTTTCGATCAGCATATCGCAATACGTGTTGTTTTCATGTCTGAACCGGTTATATTGAGCAGCACTAGTCCTATACTATCCTATACAATACAACTTTCAACTTGCATTCCTTTCTCCTTGGAATTAAAGCCATTTCAGATGTATTTCTTGCCACGAATAGCTGCAAAAATGCTAATTGGCAAGAAGCAATATTTACTCTCACTCACTCACTCACTCACTCAGATGTTTTTCAGATCTATCACTGCATGTTAGGCCTAAAAGAAAATGTTGTGGTTCCGATTACCCGACCGACCCTTGAATTCTGGTGCCGACCCTAGTTTTTTTGAGAGGTATGAATAAAATAAGCTTTCAGATACTATTGTTTTTGCCTGGCACCAATGGACATCGGTCATTCTGATAGAGAAAGTCAACATGATAGCTGCAAGCTTGATCGAATAAACAATTATACATTGATAAATGTGTTATTAGTTCATACTTTACTTCTAAAAAGAAAATGTGAAAAAAAATATTGATAATACGACATGATCTTTCACACTGATAACAACTAATTCTAAATATGTTCTGCTTATGAAACATTACAGAACATACAGTGTCTTACACTATATTACATAGCATACAACTCTTTACATAACTGAAGTAATAAACAGGTGCACATTAATTCATAAAGTTCATGCATTAATTCATGTATTTCATACATTATTTCACACATTTGCATCGATTCATCATCAACTTAAGGGAGAGAGAAGTCTTATAAAACCACAAAATCTGAATGATTTACTTCTTTCTGCTCAAAAAAGATGGTAGTACCCCATTTTATCAGGATTCAAGAAGATTGGAGTGAGTGAGTGAGTTTGATTTTACGCCACTTTTAGCAATATTCCAGCAATATCACGGCTGGGGACACCAGAAATGGGCTTCACACATTTTACCCATGTGGGGAATCGAACCCGGGCCTTCGGCGTGACGAGCCAACGCTTTACCCACTAGGCTACCCCACCAGCCCCAAGAAGATTGGAAGATCCCTTGAGGTCATATGATAATACACAGTCATTCACACTGACCCAAATTGACTCTAAACTTGTTCTCCTTATAAATAATTACAGTACATAAAACTTCTTACATTACATTACATAACATACAATGTATAATATAACACATTCCCATTAAGCTACCTGAATGAAAACAGTTTATTTCAATTAAAGTAATTATCTGATATTCATCATAAAAGAACTAATAACAATACCAGGTCCACATTAAAGGCACAGAGATAAATATACCAAACTGTTGCTTAAATAGCACATTAAGGAAGATGTAATTGATAAATTGTGTCCAAGCATACTGGCTAGCGAACAGTTATCACCAATACATCAGTATCACACATGCGCAGTTCCGGTCAATTGCAATTTCCGATATTTTTTCCCCACGGTGTTTGACAGCAATAAAGGACAGAAAAAGAAAATTCTTCACGGTAAGTAACATACGAGAAAAATTAAAGATAAAGTTATGAACCCTATAAATGTTTTTAATTAGTCGAGGGGATGTCACATGATCTATATCATAGCAAGTTCACAAGGCATTAACTGTTTCATTCCCTATCAATCTACTCTAAAAGAAACACTCATATACATATACACAATCAATTATTCGAGGTTACTGTATAATATAAATATATATTATTTCATGAATGGCATGTGAAATTTTAAAATGGCGATAACTGTTACAGTTAGTTGTGAGAAAAGACCTATTTGTACTGCCATGATTCCCTTCCCACGCGTTATATATAAACACAATCGGCGGCAGTGAACAGGCTGGACACTAATGAAGTATCATAATTAATTCTGTTTCACTAATTTAACGAATGGCGGAGAAAGTTTGTAAATACCGCTAAAATATGGCGATAACTGTTCGGCAGCCAGTATAGTTTAGTTTCCAAAATAAAAATTAAATTTACTTTCCCACTGTATTTAACACACAACTGTTACATGTCCACTAAACATTAATCTTTAAATACATTCGATCATTACTTCTATTGAGATTAATACATAACTAATAATGCATTATATGTAATTTGTCATGCTCTTTTTGGCTTGACAGCCCTCAAGATCAGACATAACTTTGATGAGTGTGTGGGACAAGGGTCTGCAGACATTCATCAACATCATAACATTAGAAAGTAGACCTTACCTGGCCTTGGCAATTGTGCATTCTAAACAATATTATCTACTTCCTGTCCATCACTTACTTTCACATCAATGAAGCATAGCGTGGGTATATGCCACTCAGTTCACCGGCAACCACATCAACACTAATAGTGTCACTATCCTGGTAATACTGCAGAACCATCGGCGAGAACGTTGACTACCTGTACTCGCCTTTACTGTGAGTCATATCCAACAGTATCAGACACCTAAGTATATCATTGTTCTCCCGTTCTGAGCTCGCATACTTAATGAGCTAATCGTTATTACCACGCGAGACATTAACCGTATTGGCTCAGACTTACCTACCAATCGAGGCAATTAGGACATGAAAGCAAGAACCTGTTCCGATACGCATCACAGGTCACGCAAATGTTTCAGACTATAGCGAAAGTATTTGTGCTTTTTATTCTACTGATTATTAAATGACACTATGCGCAATAGAGAAGTTTAACGGGTTGACATTACTCACCAAAGGCTGAAGTTATACACAACTTTTAGTCTGCATTCTTGCATTTATTTGTTGTCGGACAAGTGTCAGTGCAGGAGTTGTCTCCCTTTCGGTAACATCGCAATCGAGTATTAAAATAAAAATATATCATTGATTTCGCTCTCGATTGATCTGATATTTTTTACAATTAATTACATACTACATTTGGTAATAAGCCATTTGTTTTTATTTGTTTTCTGTATTTGCTGCTCTACTACAACGATTGCTGCATTGAAAACCGGAAGTTTTGGAAGCGTGAATGAACGTGAAGACGTAAAATATGAATGCGCCACCCACATTCGAATCATTCCTCTTATTTGAGGGAGAAAAGAAGTAGGTATCTTTCAATAACGGAGAACAGAATGCGGGATACATTACCATCTGTTGGGTCATGGAGATATCATCGCCATTGTATAGAGAACATTCCCTAATGTGAAATTGTTAAAATGTAACCTCATATGATCGTCACAGTCGCACACTAGTCTACACTTAAAATAAGCATTCTCAAATTATATTTTTAACCACTAGCTTCGCAGAGATCTTTTAATGTGTTTTTATTCCTTCAGAATACAAATCGAGAAAGATACGAAGGTTCCAAATGCTGCCCTGTTTACAGTGAACAAGGAGGATCACACCTTAGGCAACACCATTACAGTGTAAGTACACAGGTCGGGAAGGGTGGACTTGACTTGACAAGGCAGGAGTTTAGTAGGCACTACTATCTTGCACTATATGGCTTCTGCTGTCACTCACATGCCTCCCATAATGTTGTTAGGGTAAAATAAAACCCAACTCTGTCCTTAGCCATTGGGTCTTCTTCCGGTGAATCACCCCATGGCAAAGTTATGTTAGTTCACCAACTCCTGTTTTACTGATTGTGTACATTATGTATGATTTCATTCGGAATTATTTGCTAAAACAGTGAGATCTCATAACCATAAACCCCAACTGACAATTACCTTTAGGTTGTAAAAGGGACGCTAACTCAAAGAATATGACATTGTATAAAGACTGAATCGCTTTATTTTTTTCCCACCTATTGACCAGTATTTTCCTGGGCTAGAATGCACTTTACCGGGCGCAGCCCTCGCTGCTCCCTTTACGATCCTTAGGGTTAGGGTTCAGGGTTAGGCACCCTTTACAATCCTTAGGGTTAGGCACCCTTTACGATCCTTAGGGTTAGGGAACCCCAGCAGCGCTAATTAATCTGAAAAAGTGCGGCCGGTAAAGTGCAGTACTCCCTTTTCCTGTAAAGAAATCTGTAAAGCAAGTAAAAAATGTGATATTGTTTCTTGGCTCTGTGCACTAAGGGTGTATTACAACAGGTTTTGAGTGCCTGTGGGGTGTCCAGTGTTGAAATTATGCAAACCCCACAACTCACTCAGTCACTGACCCAAGCCAGCTTTGTAAAATGATTGACAATCTGTGCAAAGTGGCACTAAACCCACAGTAACTTATCAGTGTAATAGAAGTGTAGCTATGGTAACACAGACTTGGTTTTGTTGAAGTCAACTGCTGAAGGACCCCCAGGTGTTGTTTGCTGGATACAAGGTGCCCCACCCCCTAGAACACAAGTTTGTAGTGAGGATACAGACCACACCTGACTACAGCCCCCAGGAGGCCTTCACCAATGCCATCACAGATCTCATCAGCGAGATCTCACTGTTGGAGGAGAGATTCAAAGTACAGTGCACTTAGTTATACATTGAAACTGTATTATTCAACTTTTAACAGACACCCTTTCAATTTGCATGGTACAAAATATTCAAAGTACAGTGTGCACATGCAATTATACATTCAAATTCAACCTAGTATGTAACACGGGTTCTGATTGCCAGTGATTGGTCAATGCTATAAATTTCCAACCGTATAATCAGCATATACGGCTGCAATTTGAAAACCGATTCACCAAATCCTTTGAATGTATTCCTACACAATTGGGGTAACTCTGTTTTTCAGGGCATTGCCATTTGCAGAAGCCCTTGGCCAATTAACTCCCCTATCCAGCTAAAATGGGTGAAATGTGTGTAACAAAAGACAAAACAGTATCATAAATTTAATTTTAAGTTCAAACAACTTTCTAGCAACGGGCTGTTGACCCAACACTGTTAGACCATGAAACAACATTTATGACGTCATTATGGAGCGTGACGTCACCTGCTGTGACGTCATTTGACAACAGAACTGATAATGACGCGTAGTTGAGGAATCAGCGGGCCGCTTATTTCTGATAACTAGAGAGTGGTTTCATCATAATTCCGTCCATTTTATCTATAACACTATGATTTATTCACCATTGTCAGATTTAGACAGTGTGCACATAATAAAGGTGTTGAAGTTTGAAAAGGGAACTACTTTTTCTGGCGATGGTGTAAGTTTAAGGAGTGATATGATTAACCTTTGACCTAGAGGAATTTTGACCTGGTTTCAGTAATGAATTTCTTTCACGAAAAAACAGCGTAAAACGAGTTATGTTAGAATGGGGATAACTGTACTGTGTTTGACGAATTGGGGACGTATACCAGCTTACGCGTCGTCGATATAACTAAATTTGCAGCTATATAACCACTGGTATATGTCCCCAATTCGTCAAACATAGTACAGTTATCCCCTAACTGAAGCTGTACTAAACAAGTTTTGATAGAGATGCTTTTAAATAAATTCCGTGGTGGGCAAAAGTTATTCTAACATGTTTTCTAAACATCATGACAAATCTGAATATCAAAAGTTGAGAATGATATCTTGACTGTCATCTGGCAGTGTGGTTAACAAGTATAGCCAGAATTATGGAGCAACGCTGTCTTGAACAGTTTAAGATTTATGTAGTTAGAGTTATTACTTTGGGTTTTACTGTGTACATGATGTATCCTAAAACAGTTTAATCAGTGGGTCCCAAAGACTAAGTCATTTATCATGATTTCTGAAAACCATTTCTATCAGTGTGAAACTAGTTTCAGTCACATGTTGATTGTTGGTGATTAAGGACGTCATGTTGCAGGAATCGGTGAAAGAGCGACAGGAAGGAGACATATGAAGAGGAAGAACCAGAACAGAAATATGACTCTTTTAAAGTGAACATTTCTTTTGAACCTCAACTAACTTAGTTATTTGTGGTTTCCTAGTTTATTGTGGTATTGGTAACCATGGTAACAGTCATCAACATTTTACTCCAAAGATTCAGAGCAGCACTTACTGGATGGGCAAGTGAAATGTTAAAGCTTTGTGTAAATGTACATGCGAGAGTTCTGTTCAGAATGTCAGTTACTTCCCTTGTTACATTCATTATTTAGTTTTGGAAACAGAATTTGGAACCTCAACATGATTCTGAATCAGATGTGGTGGGGTAGCCTAGTGGTTCAGTGTATGGGCCAGGCTCCGATTCCCCACATGGATATAAAATCATGCATTCTTTAATATGTTGAGATCCAGTGATTAGAGATTTCATCTGAGGGTGAACCATGCAATATTCACTAACAAGTGGCTTGAGGTTATTGTGAGAACTGTCGTCATATTTCGTTTCATTGTATACATTTGTAAATAAATCATCTGCATCATGATAGTAACTGATAGCCTTTTTTGTTTTCTTGATGTTTGTCCTAAACCGAGAAACCTTTTCTATATGTACTTGTGTATGGTCATTATATAATTTTGATTTGTTATATTTTAAAAACAAAATAGCCAACATGCCTACCTCCCTAACTATAAATAGGTTGGTAGGTGATCTTTTGGCATTACAATATTTTACAAGTTCGTACTGGACTCGGTTGGTCGTTGAAGCTCCTTAAATTTGCTGAGCAGAGATGTGTACCCAGAAACCTGTGAAGATCAGTTTATATCCTGGTTTCCCTAATTATGTTTCTAGATGTGTCAGCATCATACCTGTGCGTCTGTGTTTAGTGAAGTGGTGAACATCTTGCATCCCTTGAGACTTTCCTCCAACAGTATGCTGATATGACTTGAATTCAGTTCAAAGTGCTCTGTCTTCTTTGTGGAAACATAAAATGCTGCCTTTTCCAATGCATCCAAGTCAAATGAAATGTACACCATGAATGCTCTCTGTATCAAGTGCCGCCATATAGCTGGAATACTGCGGCGTAAAACTAAACTCACTCACTCTGTATCAAGTTACTATTAATAGTTAATCTTGTTAAAAAAAGTATGATTCATCTTTCACTGGAGATCCATAGAGTTTACATCAGGTAAACCCAAGGGGTTTGACTGTTCACTCAAAATGAAGAACGACTTGTTATTGAGCCAGTTCAAAGGTAACTTTCTGAAATAGTTGGGCTTTACCACCTTAATTTTGGAAATTGAGAATGGAAATTATATATTTTAAGAGAATTTTCTCGGGATGAGCGAGTTTAGTTTTATGCAGCACACAGCAATATTCCTATATGGTCTCTGCTATAAGGCGGTGGTCTATAAATAATCGAGTCTGGACCAGACAACCCTGTGATTAACAGTATGGGTATCAATCTATGCAATTGGGATACGATGACGTGTCAACCAAGTCAGCGATTGAGATGTAGGTAAGGTGAGGTGAAATTGGGTTTAACGTCGTGATTCAGAACATTTCGCTCATATGACGACGTGCATGCGTGTGTACGTGTATGTGCGGCTGCTTGTACTAGCCCAGACTGAAGCTGTTTTTATAGTGCTAGCCCACTGAGATACCGTGCCACAGTGAAGCATGAATACCCCACTCAGACACATTATACTGACTCCGAGCCGACCAGTCCTTATTGTACCCATTAATGCCGAGAGCCAGGCAGGGACCAACAAGTACCATATTTTAATGTCTTTTTGTACGACGCAGTCCGGGATCAAACCCTCGACCTTCCGCTCTCTGGGCGGACGCTCTAACAACTACACCACGGAGGCGGTCTTGTAGGTGAAGTGAGGTGAAAATGGGGTTTAACGTTGTACTTAAGAATATTTTGCTCATATGACGAAGGCATGCATGTGTATGTGTGGCAGGTTGTACAAGCCCAGGCTTAAGCTGGTTTTACTGAGTTACCACTCCGACACATTATATTGTCTCTGTTGTACCCATTAATGCCATTCACCAGGCACGGACCAACAAGTACCATATTTTAATGTCTTTTGGTATGACGCAGACAGGGATCAAACGCGCGGCCTTCCACTCTCTGGGTGGACGCTCTTGCCACTTCTCCCCAGAGGCAGTCTGCGACGTAGGAGTGTTATTAGTCCATGTGATGCTACTTGGCTTCTTTCTCACTGGAACCAGGCCTTGTCTGATTTGTTGGTTAAAGCCAGCACCTCAAGTGTTCACAGGAACATATTGAAAAACCGTGTGAAGTATTAATAATGATATGCTTGTGGAACTTAACCCACCAGCATCCCCAAAACATCCTGCCTCAGATGTGCTCATGGTCTGGAGTAGACATTTTTACCTGTCGTGGGAAAGGGAGAATTTGTCAAGATGGAGCCCATGCTTGGCTGTGTGCTCTTGGTACGTGAAAGCATATTGTGAAACTGATACAATTCTAAATTAAAACTTCCCATGGGTTTTCAGCTCATTTCTTTTCATGAAATTGACTGTCCCAGTATGAACACCATCAGCAGCAATAATGTATAGTTGCCCCATATATTTCCATTGTAGTGTGTTCACATATGAAAAGTATAAACAGTTCTGACAACATTAATTGAGAAACAACTGAAAATTGGCTGTCAATTAGGGCTGCAACGATTCGGTTCGATTCATAAAAAATCGAATCTGACACCTTAGTTTCGATTTTCGATAACCATTATCACTATTTCGATTCGATATTTAAATACCTATCTAAAGTATTTCCACACAGCCAGAACAATTTTGACTCCAACTCGAGCAGTTTCGAGCACTGAAATAAGGCAAAACATGATTGGTTGACGCCAAGCTAATTATCTAATGATAATTGTTGTTAGTAGACAATGCCAAGTTGATGATGGATTTCACACTAAAAAAGAGGACTCTGAGAGGTAAATGAAATCTGATGTTTGTACTTGCATAAAGAATCAAATCGAAAATGATCGAATCGAGGGTCCAGCATCGAAAATCGAATCGATTCAAGGTCTGGGTGAATGGTTGCAGCCCTACTGTCGATCAGTCATCCATACAATGTCATCCAAATAGGAGGCATGAGTCTCATGGTGCCACAATCTGCATCCCATGAGCAAGTCCAAGACCTATCTTCACAGAGTGAAATCATAATATATACCCCTATTATATTCCTTGTTTGTCAGCACTGTGGTAAATGTACGAGAATGGGCTCATTTTCTGCCGACTCAATTTGAAAAAAGTGGAATAATTTCTAAAGGAACATTAAACCCAATTCACTACACTACCTATACAAAGAATATTGTGTTGTCATTCAGTAACCAAACACTGAAAATTGAGCCACATTTGAGACATTTTATTAAAAATTCAATTGTCACAACAGATTCACCCATACACACAAAATGTCAGCACAACAGTGTTTTGGCGATCCCGTCTGAATATCCCAGCCAGGCTTCATTGATGCTCGTACCAGTGGTCTGTTGTCTGTCAACCTTCCAGTATCCAACAGATGTACATCTTGTGTCGAACTCCTTCATCCAGACAGTCACACAGAGCAATGGCAGTCACCAATACGCCTGAAAGGAAGAAGTACACAGTCACTAGATTGTAACCAGGAGGTTGAAATGACACACTCGTTTCAGCATACAACATGGATCACAATATACTGAAGGAAACAAATAAGGGAACACATGAAAGTACAAGTGTTCCTTTAGTCTTTCCCAGGTTTCATCGCAAGCTTTGTATTGCACTGTGGGTGAAAATAAATAAAGGAATACTGCGATGAAGTGGTGTTCCCTTATTTGTTTCCATCAGTATATAATACATAAATAAGTCAGCTATTGGAATGACTCGCTAACCTTGCTGAAATACTGTCAGGGTATGTAGTTTTACTTGTCAAACAACACTGAACAACAAGTACCCTGCTTGGGTATATGAGCATAAGGGAGACAACTACTACAGTTCATACACAATGCATGTACCACTAAACAGCTGACTGGGTGGCTAGACTCCATCCTGATCTTCAATGAACAGCAGCCTTTTGAAAACATTGGAAATAATGTGGGAAAACACCCATTCTCATTCAATATATCTACTAGTATTTCACCATCGCAGTCACAGATCATATTCTGACAGCTCCGGTACCGAAATTGTCCTTTGTACAGCAATTAATAGAAGAAAATCACATAATATAGCAAAATAATTATCATTTGAAAACCATATTGCTGTAAACAAGTTTACTAGTAATACCATGCAGCCCTTAAAGGCACAATGTCACTCCACTTTTCTCTAAAAGAACATAATGCATTTCTCTCAATGATACTTACTATAAACCCTCGGGGAAGCTACCATATAAATTATTCCAAACAAAATTACGCATTTAGATAACAATATTAAATCAAAAAGTTAAATGGACCTTGCGCCCTCTACCGGCTGAACAATATTTCAAGCGAACCCCATATAGTAATGTCCCTTGGAACGCTATTTACGAATACCCTATAACGCAACTTGTGACTGAGGCCAATTCAGCAAACACCGACAACACAGCGTGCGACAGTTTTCGTTGTACGGGGCAATCATTCACATTCCATATATGGCAAGTGCTATCTGTTTGGAAGCTGTTCGCCTCGAAGTTTCAATTATCAATTTCAGGCAAGTCGTAAGGGATAATAAGTCTTTTATTGCATCAATAAGAGTGAGTGAGTGAGTTAATATTTAACTTCACATCAGCAATATTTCAGCCATATTGTGACGACGCATCAATAAGAAGCTAAAGTGAGTGCATATAACCCAATATGTAAAATATTGTCGAAAATGTATGACATTGTGCCTTTACAAGAGGGTAACTTTGGCTGCCTTCCAATGGTGGATGTCTGCACCTTAACTGTTACTTCACTTCAGGTTCTTTTGAATCTCCTTGGCTATGACATCACTGTCCGGGAACTTCAGTTTCCTTGGAGGGCCCTTCTTGAGGCCGGTCCACACGAGGACATCTGAAACATCACTGGACAGTCTCTAATACTGAAATCTGTAAGGGCGGGGCGATGGGGTGCATGACCAACACTAATACTTAGTTCAAAGAATGGAAGAATGTGCAGTGTCCTATCAGAAATAAGTCTGACTTTAAAGTGGCATGTTTACTACAAATCCTTCATGATGGCAACAAGGTGTCTGTAAACAAGGTGCTTATATTTAAAGGCAGATTAGAACTATACTGTTAAAGCCAGGTGGAAACAAACAAACAAAATCAATAAAAAATTTAAAAAGACTAAAATTTACCAAGTCATTGCTCCGGGTTTGATTAAACTTTGTATCGTAAAATAAGAACAGTATAATCCACTTGGTACACACGATTTCCCAAAATTGTTATTCAGAAATCTAAGATATTTTCAACTGTGAAATGTTTTACGAAATCCATCTTAACACCCACCCCCCACAAATGTTTGCTTCCCCTTCCCCTACAATTCTTCAGGCCATTCCTACACCTAAATACCTCCCTCTTCCCACGTCTGCTTAGAACTGTGGCATGTGAGCTTGGGGGATTGCTGTTACGTTCCCTACACACGATTACCTGATCCATCCTCGGTGTTCAGAGTGATCTCAAAGCTGCCACGGCGTGGCTTCTCAGGGTTCAAGGTCAGGCTCACTTCACTGAAGTGACTGCGTAGAGCATCAGCAAGTTCCGTAGCTCTACGCTCAAACACTCGTCAGGATTTGCTGGAATTCAAGAAAAGAACCTTTTTTTTTACTGGACTCTGGACCTTCAATATGTCACCTTGGCAGAATTTCTTCAACCTAATCAGTGGGACATTAGGAAGGGTGGATGCCCATGAGATGCCGTTATTTGAGACAATCCCTGGTAGTTCTTGTCCGATTGTAATAAAGTATCAAAGCAGTGTGGGCTTTTTCAGATTTTCAAATGTTTGGATGGTATAGTGACTGATCCAATTTGATCCTATTTCTCTGTTTTTTACCTCAATATTTAATCATGTAAAAATATGATGTCTATTACATATGCTATGATATCAAAAACACACATTTGATATATTTGAATCCATAAACTAAACAACTCCACTTTGCCATTGCAAAATAAATCTGAAATTTTACTTAGGTACATACAGTTTTTAACTAAGTACACAGCAAATGCTCATATATATCTTATGTAACAATGAAGTTCCGTTCGTATCCTCAAAACAGTGTCGGCCCATTTTTTTTTTTTTTCAGGCAGTCAAACTTGCATGCGATACTACTACATACAGCGATTACTACTCTCTTGCTGTAACCCTTGTTTGGTGGTAAACCTACACATGTTATTTGTCATCATTCACTTGATGGTCAGTTAATGAATTTATAACAGGTATAATTAGTGATAACACCACTCAGATTACCCGACAAAGGTTCCCATTTGGCATTTCTTGTGTCTGGAGTAAATACTCATCATTATAAATTGAGGTCTGATGTGGAAAATGTATTACATCTTATGTAATATGCGCATGGAAATGCAGTAAGAGGAATTATCAGCTGAGTTACAAAACAAACATCAATCAAAGGATTAACCGATAACACACTGATTGATTAATTGCTTTTATCCTGCACAGCGGATTTGTCAAAAGGTAGTGTTTATGCATGAACATTCACTCATCTACAGTCGAACCCCGTTTACTCGGACCCCGTATATCCGGAAACCCCGCCTTCCGGATGATTTTTAGATGAAACGAAACTTGCCTTCAGTAATTGTACTCGCTTAGCCAGACCCCGCACGGAGAAGTTTCAAACCATTCCCATAGATTTCCATTTAAAAATGATCCACTTATCCGGACGGAAAGATCTGGGCACATGTGCATGTGTACATGTATGTTTCACGTCAGTATTGTTTACCGGACGACTAGGTGTATTCATTGTTAATCTCTTGGCAGGTGTTTGCTGTGAATTGAGTACCGATCAAAACACTAGGGACGCGTGTTAATCTCTCGGCAGGCGTTTGCTGTGAATTGATTACTTACCCATCAAAACCCTAGGGACGTGTGTCACTTCAGTTGTGGCAGGTGTGAGAACATCACATCAGTAACAAAAACACATGTTAATTAGGATTAGGATTAAGCTGAGCCGCGGAATTGGATGCAGCAGTTACCACGAAGTGACGGCGACAAAGTCCCAACTGCTGAACAGTACGTTGATGAAGATACTGTCGTGGAAACTGGCCATGAGCTAACTGATGAAGAAATCATCAACAGAGTGCAGCCACCGACAGACGACCAGTCAGATGATGATGAACAACAAGCAGTTGTTATGCTAACAGTCTGTTGACCTTCTACGAATGTACTGGAGACGAAGGTTCAGTGAATTTATTGAGGGACTTGGTGAAGTGATTTGAAGAAATACAACCATTAGGAAGCAGACACCTATCACAGACTTTTTAAGGAAATAATGTGCTACATGTGATATGTGATATCGAGTCAAGTAAGATGTGCTATGTAAAATGTATAACGTGAATCAACGTGCTGAAAGAAAGTTTATTGGTGTGATATTGAATATGGTATTGTTATGATTATATGTTTTTGACTATTGACTTATTGATATACATACATGAATAAATTTTCAATATACGGGTCATTTTCAAAATTGGTAGGATTTTCTGTCCGTTCCAAATTAAAAAAAAACTCTGTTAACTTAAAAGGATTCTTTTGTGCTAGAAAACATATTTAGATGTTTACTAGTCAGTAAATGTGGTATATCATTAGTCTTGTCATTTTGAAATTTATATTTAGCCACACTTTGCAATTGGCAGATTTGCTCTGTCCGGAGGTGACGGTCCTAATATCAATGTTCACAAATAATGTAAATATAAATGCACATAAACAAACTAATTCATATTATGCCAATTAGGATTGATCAAGCATACTCAAACTGCATTTAATTTTGTTTTAACTTAAAAAAGTTTTTTTCTACAAATTGTAACATGCTTGTTCTGTGATTTTGTGTCCTGACCGTTACCAGTGTATGAAATTCCTGCAATAATTCCCCCCTTGAGCTGGATTGTAATTCAACTTCCTGTGTCTGCTTGAGCTAGCCCCTGTGCATGTGACAGCAGATGAAATAATGAAATTCAACACATTTTGCAGAAAATTGACACCATCAACTAAGTATAAATGTTGTGTATCAACCTTAATTGTCCAGACCGTTACCAATGTATTTTGTGTCAAATATATCTCCCTTAATTTTTAAATTTCAATGGATATCTTGCCCAGAACTGGAAGAGGTTCCTTTGAAATCTTTTAGGGATCATTCATTTTTTTATTTTAGACTTACTTACAAATTGTCTTGACCGTTACTGTCCAAACCGTTACCATTCTGCAAAGTAACGGTTTGGACAGTCCTTGTAACGGTCTGGACAAAATGATTTGTATTTCAAAAAGTTGTTCATTAATATTTGAAATATAACAAATTTATAATTACTTTAAGGGTTAAGATAAGTTTCATCATGGAATTTTACTGTTCAAAGGAGTTTTGATGTAGTAGCATAAAAAAACACAGTCTCTAGTAACGGTTTGGACAAATAATAGTAACGGTCTGGACATATCTTTAATAAATTTCAGTTTTAAAGAATATGTTCCATGGTGTGATAATAATTTTCTATTTACTTATCTATCTGCTTTAAATAATAAAAACCAAAACAAATTTATCACGTTAAGTTTCTATTTTCTATAAGATCTATAGTCTTTATAAATTAAAGGTAACAGTTAGGACATCTATGGTTCCAGTTTGGACAAAATGTAGTAACAGTGAACAACTTGATTGTGTCCGAAACCTTTAAAGATTTTTTGGGTGTAAACTGTTTTAACTTTAACTGTGAGATATGTAAGGCTACCATTTACTTTGAATATTTGCTAGGTGCTAATATGTCGGCCAAACCTTTGTGTTTGATAAATATGTGTTACCATCTCACCATTAACAAAAACTAAAGGTATCCATGTGAATGAAAGAAGTATATTTCGTGGAGACTAATATTGCACCGTAATATCAACAGCAAAATGATATCTATGCAGTGGCCTGTGTAGCATGACCATGTGTACAGTATCATAGTTGTTGCAGTACCTTTCAGAATTTAATCTTTTGCAACATTTTAGAGGGATAACATTTGTTTGTTACACTGATGTCCTGACCGTTACCAATAATGTCACAACCGTTACTATTCGTTCAATTTTCGTTCCCCAAATGCACTCTTCTTTAAATTATAAGTGATTTTCAACCTAGACAGGTGTGTTTTCCATTCTTTAGAAGCTGCAGTTTGTTTTATTCAAAAGCCTAAATTCATTCACAAGTTTCATATTGATATAACAAATGTCCAAACCGTTACCACAGCATGGAAGAAAACATGTCACATTTGCTACAAGTTACAATTTCTAATACACATTTCACTGTCTGTCCAAAATAGAGTTAGCAATTGAAGTAAATGATATCATTTTTTCCTTTCATGTTACCTGTTTCTAGGTTGAATTATATTGTTTAAGGTTTATGTCCAGCCCGTTACCATTCCTGTCCAAACCGTTACCACTATTGTCCTAACCGTTACTGGTGTTAATTGACTGCTCTAAGTAATTCATGATAATACATGAAACACTCCTCTTTATGCTGGTGTCATTAAAAGATGTCTGGGCTTAGTAGCTGATGTTTATTTTAGACAATTGTACCTGTTGAAAGCTATATGCATAATAATGTTTTAGAAAAATGCAATTATTTTGTGGTAAATAAATGACAGGTACAAAATAACACTTTCAAGATTCATGATAACAGTTTTTACCTTCAAGTTTGAATAAGTCGGTGCAAAAGCTGTGTATGCCATCTTTAACAGATTTTTATGAATTATGTTTCAAAATCCTTATTCTGATTAAGAAGTGGTAACGGTCAGGACTTTCCCTCACCCTATAATTTACTTATGTATCAATTAAAAGGCCAATTAGTAAATTTGAGCCTGCATGTTTGTATTATTGAATAATTAAGTATTTGAGATTTCATTTGAACAAAAACTAAATAAATTTTCAGGAGTTTGATTTTACTGTAATAAAGAATTGAAAATCATACCAATTTTGAAAATGACCCATACATTGTCAATGCGTTTTGCTTGTTTGATCCAGTTAACCGGACGCCTCGCTTTCCGGACGATTTCCGAGTGTAACCAAAATGTCCAGATAAACGGGGTTCGACTGTATACTAAATACACCCTGTTGTAAAATGTCTGTGTAAAAACAATGTCCTTCCTTCAAAGGATTAACCGCCAATACATTGATTATTTGCTCACTATTGGCTAATTACATTAGTTTTTAAAGAATGGCAGACATCATACAATTGGTTGCCAGGTGTGCTATCTTGGGTGACCAATGGGACTATACACAAATGTGAAAAACCTGAAACAATTGATCACTTTTTCGTATATTAGACTGTTAAAAGACATGACATGGAACAGGATACTTTATCAGCTGCAGATGAATGGCATCTCATTCCTTTATGTGGATATTGATGGATACACTCCCTGAACAAGGTAATAGCCTGATATTGTTGCTATAACTTTAGTCTGTTTTAATTTTGATATTTGCATTTTGTTGTTATTTATTTGTTATTGCATTCAACAGAATCATTTTTTGCCATGAAGTGTAATGAGACAGACAACATACACTAGGTCGCACTCAGAAATATGTTGACAATCTATAAAATGTCTAGATATTACAATCATGTTATAAATTCACAGAATTTTATTAAGTTTCAAAATGCATACAAATATGATAATAAACTAATTAGGATTATGAGACAGAATATAAAGACGTACATTGACTTCACGTTATTTCAGTCCTAACATTTTTTACCACTGGCAGATGGTTAAACTTAAAATGTTTTCATTTGTTATCAAAATAATGCCATTTAATACAACATTCAGATTCTAGTAGTGAACCCAAGCTTGCTCTCCCCAAGACTCCTCATGTACTTAGTTACTCTTACTTTCAAACAATGCTATTATATCAGTCAGTCTCACCAAATTCATGGTCAAATTTTTTTTTAAATCAGAGTTACATCCATTTACGTTAACATTTTTATAAAGTCAACATTACTATGGCCAGAAAATGTTACATCAAAATCGCATTTTTATCCAAGTGAATATGGTTTTATAAGAAACCAAATTATTCTAAGTCTACATAATTTTACAACAACATCAAGATTCTCGAGTAAAAAAGATTTCATCTTTGTTGATCAGTCTATACTTATACTATCAATTGCGGATGAGGGTGGTCCAGCAGAGGTAACAAACCAGTCATGAATTCTGGGATATTATCCGGGTACTCACTGGAGAAAAACAATAACGAAAGCAACAACCAGTCCATGGAAATTGCTCTGGATCAGTGGCCCTTTAAATGATTACAGATGGGTAGACAGATTCACTGGCTGATGTGGGGGCTTAAGACATATTTTCATATTTCTAATTCTGAATGATGATATGTTATTCACCTGATGAATGATTAAAAAGTTACTCCGAAATGTCACCTTTCTCATAATAAAGATGATGACATCGCAAAAAAATTCACCATTTAATTTTCGTTTAAGTGTTTACCAATTCCTTAACACTGATCGAGTTACTTATTTTATTCATATGCTGATGAAAGAACGAATTGTCACTTTTGAACAAAACCATTACCCCACTCATTAAATCCAAACCCACTTTTCTGAAAAGTCTCACCCTGTCATGGTCTGCTAGTCTGTCATACTGACCCTGAAACAAATTCACCCATGTACATATACCTGAGTCTAGAATGTGTGGAAAGTCTAGAATCTGGGATCCTTTTGATAATATTTTATCAAAATAATCAAGACACCGATTTTTTCCCTGTAAAATATGCCCATTTCAGCTGAGGCCATATAATAGATTATTGTATGGTCTCTGATTTCAGAGACTATACGATGTTAGTCTAGGACAGTAGAGCTAGACCTAGCTGTCATTCTACTTACCAGTGTTCAATGGTGAGGTTGATGACGTGATTCACATCGCTAATTTCTCTTGTAGACAGTTTCGGTTTCTTCACTTCTGTTTCTGTTGCATCGTCAGCCTCAGCTGCAACTTCGTCTTCCGATACTTTAACTTCGTTTTTCTGCGTTGTTTTACCTCGTTTTTTGTTCTTCCTCTCCATGCTGCCTTCTCTGATGTTGACCCGTAAATCGGACGAAGTCAGACTAGTTTACTCATACCAATGCGCCGCTGATAGACGGTACATAGACGGAGCCGAGTTTATACAGGGCATGATTTTTTCCCGCCATTTCGACTTCGGTCTTCTTCGGTAAAAGTAATATGTAGTCTTTGATTTTCTAATGTTATTCCGTTGACAATGCAGCGAATGATAACAAACTGTTTCAGTCTGGGTCTATGGGTGGCCAATTTAACCACCTCCCTTATTTCAAAAGTAACCACCACAAAATTTATATTTCAAAATTTAAAAAACATTTTTAATAGCATTGTTTAGGCTTCTGAATGGAAATGCTAAAATGGCATATTTTATGGCTAAGGCATGTTTTGATTGGTGGGTACTATAGCGCTTGTGTAAAATAAGGTTCAAAATTTTACATTTTATATCAACATTTTATTTCATACTTCAAAAATAGTTAGATAACCAGCAAGCGTCAGAGTTAAATTGGTACTAAAAATCTGAATCAGATTTTGTATTTTGCAGATGATTTTCGTGAAACAGCAGCAATGTAAAAAGAATAACAAGATATGTATTGAAGAAATTTAATATTAAAATATACAATATTTCCAACCCACGACAGCTACACATGGCTGTGGTCGGCGTGTGAGGACGGGGAATGTAGGAAAAAAAGAAAAATGAATAAAAGAAAGCGGAAAAAAGTAAGGGAAAAACAGAAAAATGAAAAAAAAGAAAGAAATGGGGGAAATTGGTGTATGTAACATATTTTTATGAAGTTTTGAGTATAAATGGCAAAATAAACTCACCAAAATAACGAGTATAAGAAGTGGTGTTACCATGAGTATCCAGCTTGGACTGTGGTATTTGATATTAGGTATTGTACAAGGGAACCTGTTTCTTGTATCAACATGAACCAGTTAATCAAGACATTCTAGACTTTTAAGTAATTGCTGAGTAGCTGAGTAGCTAATGAGTTAACTTGGCTTCAATTCTCATTGGCTTCTCATTTTAGAATTAAGTAAATGACTTGCCAGTGTGTGACTTAGCAGCAGATTGTGCTTCATTTAAATGTGCTAAATTGTCTATCATCTGTCACCAAATTTTGCTTATTATTATGTAGTATGAGATACACGCGTAATAAAGTATTAAAAAGTATTTCTTTTTTTCCTAGCAAAAATCTTTTTTTTTTCCTTTTCTTTTTTCTTTTCTTTTTTTCCGAATACCACGACGGGAACTAATTTCTGCTCGGGTTCTCGAGTTCGTCTCCTGGACCAAAGAGAAGGAGTCCAACTCAAAACTACACAGGTTTAGACTGCTTTAGCCGTAAATTTGCAGAAATCTTGTTCTTTATGTGCTGATCTAAATGTTTAAATAAGGTAACTATATCTGAGGGAATAAATTCAGCCTAGAGATTCTGCTGTCTCAATGGCTGGGCGGTGGGGTAGCGTAGTGGTTATTTAAACTTTGGCTTGTCACGCCGAAGACCCAGGTTCGATTCCCCACATCGGCACAATGTGTGAAGCCCAGTTCTGGTGTCCCAGTCGTGATATTGCTGGATTATTGCTAAAAGCGGCATAAAACCATACTCACTCACTCCTCCCTAGCTGGCTCTCTTTCGTCAAGAGCAACCAACTCGAGTAGGGCGATGTCGCAGACGCAGATGGCCTGCCGGCACTGGACCAGTGCACGCCTGCTACGTTGGTATTTAATTGAGGTGAGGTGAAATTGGGTTTAACGTCGTGCTTGAGAATATTTCGCTCATATGACGACGTGCGTGCGTGTGTATGTGTAAGTGCGGCTGCTTGTACTAGCCCAGAGTTAAGCTGGTTTTATAGTGCTAGCTGCAGTGAAGCATGAATACCCCACTCAGACACATTATACTGACTCCGAGCCGACCAGTCCTTGTTGTACCCATTAATGCCGAGCGCCAGGCAGGGACCAACAAGTAACATATTTTAACGTCTTTTGGTATGACGCGGTCGGGATCGAACCCGGGACTTTCCGCTCTCCGGGCGGACGCTCTAACCTACACCACGGAGGCGGTCTGGTATTTAATTGACTACATTAGATGTATTCCACGCTCCACCGCCTGGTGCCTATTTACGAATGGTTCCAGACATTGTCATTATGGTGCCATGCCTGCTTTGAACCTGGACATTGTCTCTGTGTATTAGGATAGCCAGAGACCATATACCGATATAATATTATGGTCTCTGTGATAGCCACTACATTCTAGACTGTTATCGATAGACTAGCACCTATAGTGCCATAAATAAAGTTATCTTATATGAAAATACATATCCACAAAATGTGAAATATATGAACATAGTATACTGTATTCGGGGCTTAGTCAATCTTGACTTGCCAAATCATTCTACAGTTGAGTTGGATCTAATTTTGAATATATTTTTAAAGGGCTGTAGGAGGCAGACGAGGTTGATTACACGCAACTCAATAAGGGAGTTGTTTGGGTTTTGGATGATCAAAACGTTCTAGAATTGACAAATGAACCAAACGGCCTTTAAAATCGCTTTTTGCAATTCAATGTACAGGCATTGTAATTTGTATTAGCCTATCTCCATGAGTCTAGAGTATATATTAAAAAAACACACAGCTCAAGTCTAGAGTGATGTGGCAAGTCTAAGAGTGATGTGGCAAGTCTAGATTGGCATCAAGGCTGAAGTCAGCCTGAGCAGGTCGTGATTTGGATTTTGTTATTTGTGTGTGTATATAATTTTTAATATGAAAACCTTACTCGATCAACGGATTAAATGTTTATCAGCACTAGCCAGGCGCGTAGCAAGCCAATTTTGTCGTGTAAGCCCGATAGGTTGCAAAGCTTTATATTTAGATTGTATGGAGGACTTACCCAACTTTCATTTTCAAAATCACGTGTAAGCCCGGGCTTTTTCAAATAATGGTAGCTACGCCCCTGCTAGCACCCTAAGCCATCTTCATACGTGTGTGAATGATAGACCGTGTCTTCCGTGTGATAAGCTTTTCCTTTTAGTTTTAACAGAGACCATATAATCTATTATATGGTCTCTGGTTTTAAATAATCAATATATTTAACTTCGTCATCATGGACTGAGTCTGAAACTAAAACAAGGAAGTACACATAATACACATATTGACCACGTAGACATTTCACGTAGTTACACTGAAGGGGGAATTGCTCTTTCAACGAAATACGACATTGATTGGCACATGTGATTTCACTGCGGAGAGTTGGGCTACCCTCAAACGAATAAGAAGAATCAACTCTGCAGGTAAATATCAAATATGGCGGCCTCCATGTGTCGAGTTGTGTAATTGTTTTGAAATCGCTATTGTTCGGGAGCTAAGTGAGTTGTTTGTGTCTCAAATTAAAACGAATATATTTCCGAGTAATTGAAGACATATAAGCAGAGGTTGTCACATGATTTCGCTAAGTTTCTCCTTACTTAAATCTCACAATGCCCAAATTCAAATCGTGGCAATTTGTGGTCACTGCGTGTTACGGTTGGTAACTGATTACATTGATTAAGTGTATTCAGCCATGAGCAGATGGCGATAGATCAATGTGTACCGTTTTGTGCTCTGATACAGTGGCGCTTATTTTCCAAAGCAAGTACCAAGTGTCTTTAGGGACCGTTCATAATTTATCGCTAGGGGTGTGATCATGATTTTTATTGAGAAGCATGTGTGCAATGTGAACGACTCCCCCTAAAATCTATGTACAAAATAGGTGACCCCCCTGCATGTCATGTCCAAAATCAAATAAAAATCAAATAAATTATGAACGGTCCCTTATATTTAAATTTGGTATTCTTAGTCATGTTAATTTTTAGCAGCCTTGACGAGAAATAATTTTTTTACTGCCAGATGCATCTTTGACTGTTTATACAGTTTTATAATAGAATCAAACTTGAAGTAATGATTGTAATCGACAAACCTAACTTCAACTTTTAGATTTGTTCCAGACCTTTGAATAGAATAATATTTAACTGTGTATTATAGCTTTTACTCTGTCTAAGGAACATAATTGTAGTTTCGTGACTAATCACACAAACTGCTGTAAAACATGTCTCTCATCTGTAACTATATCTTAGAAACAACCCATTTGAGGGATGTCCTTGTCATTGTATGAGGGATTGTGATTAACATACCAAAATGTATCATATCCAAAATATACCATTTGACAATACTGTGCTCTTAGAAAACAATGTTTCCTTGGTTGTTGCTGTAGACAGCCATGCTGGAGAAGTTCCTGACAAGCCAGGTGTCGGAGTACCTGTGTCTCCCCGTGTGGACGGTGCTGCTGGCCACTGCCTGTCTTGTGTGGCTGCTGTATAGTGGAAGCAGAGGGATCAATGTCAAGGTGAGATCAGTCAGTGCTCCCATTCAGCTTTTGTGCTGAAAGTTTTTTAAATGACCATTGACACTCGGGTGAAAATGGAGTGTGCATCCCTCCTTTTCTCAATAGTGTGCACCCTCCTTTCTCATAAAGCTGTATCTGCCCATGCCAAGTGGTTAAAGTGTTCCCTTATCACGCTGAAGACCTGGGTTTGATTCCCCACATGGGTACATTATGTGATGCCCATTTCTGGTGTCCCCGCCATGATATTGCTGGAATATTGCTGAAAGGGTCGTAAACCCCAACTCAGTCAGTCAATTTTTAAAGTGAGTACAACAAGATTAATCACTAAATGTAATGCATGTATATTATACGGACATGTGTTGAAGAAAAGTGCTATTTGGTATTATTTTTAGTCTTTCTATTATGGTAGCTAAGACTGTTTCTAATGTTTCCATGTACAGAAAGCAGTGCGTGACTATGCCACAGCTGATGTTGCTGAAGATGAAGCTGAAACACCTGCTGAGAAGACCAAATCGAGAAAAAAGCTGAGAGAAAAACGAAAATTGAAGATTTTCTATGGAACACAAACAGGCAACGCAAAGGTTATAATAGTTCAAGTGCCATAAAAACATTCAGCCTATGTCAGGAACCATGGGTCATTGTAGCAGCTGCCGCTGTTAATTAGACCACAATTATACCAGAGATTCCATTTTGAAATTTTGTTTGATCTTAGGTACTGGTCATTTACTTGGAACGGGGAGCGGCAGGCCTAGTCGAATG